CACACACACACACACACACACACACACACACAAATCTTAAAACAGGGTGATAGCACATGCCTTTAATCCCAGCATTCAGAAGGCAGAGGCAGGCAGATCTCTGGGTTCCAGGTCAGCCTGGGCTACACAGAGAAACCCTGTCTCGAAACAAAACAACAACAAAATTCTGGCTTTGGTGTAACCCTAGGACTTGGGAGGTGGAGCAGGATGAGGATGACCAGAAAGTCAAGATCACCTGCAATTTCATAGCAAGTTTTCAGAAACAAGATGAGATCCATCAATGGATGCTAACTAGTAAGTCAGATACTAGACAGGCATCACACTTCTTGCTCCCCACCTACAATAAAGACGAAGAGCGGTGCTGAGTCACTCATTCAGTTATGTTTATTTTGACTGCAGGTGGGATGGGTATTGAGACACAGGGTCTTGTTACATGTTCTAGGCTAGCCCCAAACTTTCAAATCTTGTTTCTGCCTCCTGAATGAATGTTGGGATCATAAGCACAGGCCACCTCAACTCTCTACAGTCATTCAGGAAAAAAAAAAAAAAAAAAAACAAGGAAAGCAAACAAAACAGCTACCATTCATTGAATCTCTAGGAATATTATGGTCTAGCTCAGTGGTTCTCAACCTTCCTAAAGCTGTGGTGACCCCAACCACAAGATTATTTTCATTGTTACTTCATAACTGTAACTTTGTTACTGTTATGAATTGTTATTAAACCTTTTTGGAGACAGAGGTTTGCCAAAGGGGTCTTTACCCACAGGTTGAAAACCACTGGTCTAGAGGTTAAGACCAGGAACTCTGAAGCCAGAACCTGCCCACTTCCTGTCCACCTTAGGCAACCGACTGTACCTTCCTCCCCTGTAAAATGAGGTACCAGCAGCTACCTGAGCTGGTGCTGTGAGGATGGAGTGAGTTAGTGGCCCAAATGCAGCCTGGAGCGAAGCCCTCAGCCACGCCCCGCGGGTCTCACTTCTTCTATGGCACAGCCTACAGAGGTCGGCAATGACCTGTTTATGCGTCTCTAGCTCACTATTAAATACCCCCAAATCCTTCAGGTATACCGGTGTTCCTGTTTTATAGGAGAGACTGGCTGTGTTGACTAAAAACTTCAACTATCAGTGATTAGTGCAGCTAAGCTTCAAATCCATACCTTTCTGACGTCCACACCCATACCTTACCCTCTTCTCACACTAGGCTCTAAAGCTTTATATCAAGTCTGGGTATGGTGGTGCACACCTGCCGTCCCAATACTGGGGTGGGGGGCATGGCAGGAGGAATCTGAACTCGAGGCCAGCTTGGGCTACTTACCCAGTTCCAGGCCATCATCTGGTATATAGAGATTTCCTATCTCAAACACACACACACACACACAAAGAGCCAGGCCTAGGGTACAAGCCTGTGTTCCTAGTCACTTGAGAGGCTGAGGCGGAGGATCAAGTTCAGGGTCCGACTGCGCTACTTGGTGTGTAGTTAAGACCAGCTCGGGAAATTTAGTGGGACCAGTCTCAGACCAGCAAAAGGAGAGCTCTGGGTATAGCTTAGTGGTAGAGAGCTTCACTAGCATTTGGGAGGGTCCTAAGTATAGTTCCCAGTAAAACTAAATAAATAAAATAGATACCAAGTTGAAATCATTACCCTTTATCCCTGCGGTGCTTAGGATCAAAGCCAGGCCTCTGACGGGCTAGGCCAGCACTCCACCGCGAGCCACATCAGGCTGTTGATCTTTCGTTTCAGATGTTTGACTCCTCCCTCTCCTCACCTCTCACACTCAGTTGAGCCACAATCCTCTCCACAGCTGACCACATAGACTCCGGTCCCCACAGAAGCCTCCTGATAAGAAATTTGTGTTGCTTAGCACAGTGATGGACACCTGTCGTCTCCAAATAAAAAAGTCTGTCCCCACCCACTACACGCTGCCTCCAGAGTAGCTCTGTCAAATGCCATCTTGGAAGTGACTCGCTGCACAGCCAGGGTGGCCACTGGGGACAGTCTCAGCTTTCACCTGCCACTTCAGTATAACGATTCAGGTGACAAATTATCTGTCCATTCTATACACCCTACATGATGGATGAAGAGTTCCACAAGTTTCTGAGCTGAGAAATAATTCAATCAAACCCCTGGTCTACTATTCCAGAATTTTCTCTTCTTATCTCTTAGTTACCTTTCCAAACTTAACACATATTACTTCTCTTCTTGTGGCTTTCCCTGGGTCAAAAGACTGGTGAGCCACACTTGGCCATCAGATGTCCCTCTACTATCTCCACTTAAAGTCCTCCTGCCTCTGATACCCACCAAAACGCTATGAACACGTCATGCTTGACATGATCTTTTAGGGACAAACGGGGGTGGGGGGGTGGGGTGGACTATGGAATGAGGGAAGGCCAGGAGAGCCAGAAGAGTCAGTAGCAAAAATGAAAGAAGTTGGTGACATCACATGCAGCTGTAGGGAAGCATTAGCTGCCTTCAGTTACCCAGAGACAAATTTTGACTGCCCGAGAGCTGTGTTGAAGGAGGACCCATGGCCAGGACTTAAAGCAGAGGAGATCCTATTTCTGATTCATAAGCTATGACTTTGAATGAGTTACAAGTTTCTTCTGAAATACCTGCTGGCATGTAGTAAAGATCAGGTGCACAAAAAAGCCAGGAAGAAGGCTCAACAGGTAAAAGAGGCAGCCATACAAGCCTCACAATTCAAGTGTGATCCCCCAAACCCATGTAAAAAGCTAGATGCAGTGGCACACATCTGTAATCACAGTACTCCTGTGGTAAGATGGGAGACAGAGACAGGAAAGTTACTAGAAGTCTGGGGGGAGGGGGCAGCTAGCCTGGAGTGGAGTCCAGAGCACAGCTGTAGAAACAAGAGAGACCCTGTTCAACAAGGTGGACAGTGAGACCTGACTCTCCAAATGTATTCTCCGACATCCATGCAAACCATGCCTGTCTGTGCATGCACACACCACACAAAATGTACAAAGTTAAGCTGGCTGCTATTATTATTAAGACATGAATGAAAAACAGAGGCTAACAGTGAGGAGATCCTTTTCCTCTTTCCAAAAGTTCTAACTGTGGGCTAGAGTTGGCTCAATGGTTAAGAGCATGTACTGCTCTTGCAGAGGACCTAGATTCAATTCCCAGCACCTACCTGGTGGCTTACAGTCATCTGTAACCCCAGTCGCAGGGGATCTGATGCCCTCTTCTTACATCTATCTATAGGCATGTGGTGCACATAACATAAATGCAGGCAAACACATAAAATAATAAACCTAAAAGTTAAAAAGTAAAATAGATTTTTTTTAAGTTTGTAATAGATGTGGTAGTACATGTCTATAATCCCAGCACTGAGGAGTCTGAGGCAGGAGGCCCTAGCCAGCCTGAGCTAGACCGCAGAAGTCTAAATATATAAATAAATTTAAAGTGGAATCAAAGAAATAAGATTTTCTTCTCCAGGAAAGGTGAGGCTTGGGTATTATGGTAACTGAAAGGAAAAAACTTCTGGAAGATCTGGGTGTGGTGTTGGTCCCAGCATTAGGGAGGCAGAGGCAGGTGGATCTCTGTGTTCAAGGCCAACCTGGTCTACAGAGTGAGTCCAGGACAGAGAGCTACATAGTAGAGAAAAAGAGGGGAGAAATTAACCAAGAGAAGGAGCAAAGGCTAACATGGAGCTTAACTGGGAGCGCCCTTCCTCTGTGAGTGGAAGGGGGCCCCAGGAAATCTGTGGAGCTGGCAGGACTCTGACTCCAGACATGAGGAGGGTAGGGCCTGGTGGCCTATGCTGTAATCCCAGATTTTAGGAAGCTGAGTCAGAAGACTGACTTTAGGCCAGCCTGGGCTACATGAATAGTGAAACCCTGTCTCAGAACAGTGGTGGGTCAAGCTGAGGCCGTTCTGAGACACACACAGGTTCTGCGGTCAAGCTGAACGACTGCTCAAAGGATGGGATGCAGCTCGATGGCAGCACACTCGCCAAGAACACGAGAGGACCATGATCGGAGCCCTGACGCTGAGTTTACTTATTTCTTCATTTTGTTTTTTGAGACAGTTTTCTCTTGGGTAGCTCTGGCTGGCTGTCTTGGAACTTGCTCTGTAGACCAGGCTGGCCTTGAACTCATAATCCACCTGCCTCTGCCTCCAGAGAGCTGGGATCAAAGGCCTGCGCCACCACACCCAGCCAGCACTCAGTTTAAGAAAAAACTGTTGGAGATCTAACATTCACAGCACTGCCAATCAGCGCTGATTTTTTTTTTTTTTTACCCTCAACACCCCCACCTTACACCCCAGCCTCAGTGATGCTGGGCTTTAAAAATTCAAACTTCCAGCATGAAAAGGGACAATGGGAGAGGGTCCTGGGCCTGACCCTGATGCTAAGGGGAGAAAAGAAGAACACGAGGAACGGCACTTGGAGGGCGCCATGGGCAGCACGGGGGTGAAGCCGCCCCTCAGTCCAGGCTGAGCAGACAACAGAGAAGAGAGGTGAGTGGTGACCAAAGGCTCCCACAGAACAGAACCAACGCAGCAGAGGACGTCTGGGAACCGAAGATAAGTCTGGTATAGCAAACCAGGGAGAGGGGTGAAGTGGACCAGGGTGTGTGGTAATAGGGAAGAGCGAAGTTCAGAGAAGTTCAGGTCTGGGTGGTGGCGGCTCCAAGGTCTGACACCAGCTTGGAAAGATAAAGAGACATTGGGGTGAAAGGTACAGGAAGCCAGGCTAGAAGGTGCACTGTCCACAGTGACAGGTTGTAGAGTCATCTAAAAGAGTAGAGGGCGCTGATACACATGGGAGTGCAAAGTCTTCGATGGGAGAGCACAGGACATGGTGGAGGGTGGAACAGGGTAAGCCTGGAAGGGAAAGATTTGTTTGCATGAGGGTGGTACCAACCTGCTACTATAAAATCTATCCTCAGAGAAATTATCTAATTACACAGAAAAAACTCTACTTGAGAAAATAGATACTCTATTCCCATAAAACCACAACTTATAAAACCCTCAAAACAAGCCAGGAATTACTAAAACAGAATTAGCTATTTGTTTTTGTTTCTTCAAATAGAAGTAAAAATAAAAACACCCAACTAAGAATAAAGTCACTCAGCTGCAAACAGACACCTGAGCCCTGAGAACGGGTTACACAACTCAGGCACACATCATAGGGACATGTGAAGAGCAAAGGTCGCTGACAAGGAAGCATGGCACTTTGTCAGCAGGTTTATTTATTACATGAACACCAAACAGGAAAGGGCTCTGCAGATTAAAAGGCAATCTACTCAGGTAACATGAAAATCAGCGCAATGACCAGAACTCAGGTTACAAATCACTGCTTAAAACTCCGTCCCATTGAACGTCCAGGGCTAACTCTCTGTGTGAAATGTCGTCTACCACAGGCAGAGCTGGAGAGCAAGCAGATTAGTGCTGTCAGGAGGGGGAGGGGAGCCAGGGCGACCGCTAATGGGGGTTGGGTTCTTTCAGAGGTGAGGAAAAATGTTCTGGAATTAGTGGTGAAGGTTGTGTAAGACTGTGACTATATTGAGAACACTCTGAACACTGCTAAAGTTAATATTACTGTATGTCAAGTCTAGTTCAACAAAGCTGTTACTCAAAATAAAAGCAAATTTTAAAACTTCATATGAACATTTTGTTTATGACTCATTTATGAGGAAACAGAATCCTTATGCTTGAGTTTTTGTTTTCTTTTTCCTTAGGACAAGTTATCATGTAGCTTAGGCTGGCTCCTCCTTCATCTCCCAAGTGCTGGGGTTATAAGCATCCATGCCCAATTTAATATTATTAACTTTTAATATAAAAAAGATTGATAGCATTCTCATTTTAAAATCTATTGACTTATTTTTTTTAAAGATTTATTTATTTATTATGTATACAGTACTCTGCCCGCATGTATGCCTGCAGGCCAGAAGAGGCACCAGATCTCATTACAGATGGTTGTGAGCCACCATGTGGTTGCTGGGAATTGAACTCAGGACCTCTGAAAGAGCAGCCTGTGCTCTTAACCTCTGAGCCATCTCTCCAGACCAAAATCTATTGACTTATTAGTGTGTGTGTGTGTGTGTGTGTGTGTGTGTGTGTGTGTACATGTGTGTGGGGAGGGGCAGGGGTTGTGTACCATGGCACCTATGTGGAGGTCAGGGGACAACTTTAGGGGCCCTGGGGCTTGAACTCAGGTTGCTAGACTTGTCAGCAAGCACTTTTACCTGAGGGGCCGAGCGCCAGCCCTCCTTTCACATGACATATGAACGCACTCTCACTGGCTGCCATCAGGAAAGTACTAGGATAGTGTCCTGCAAACACAAGTACAGAAATTCCACTGCAAACCAACCAGTGTGGCACACACCTGCTCACAACTCTCGGCTAAGGCAGAGGATTCCTGGTTTGAGATCAGCATGGACTACATCATGATTCTTTTTATATTTTTATTGAGACAGAGTCTTATTGAGTAGCTCTGGTTGGCCTAGAACTTACTACGTAGACCAGGCTGGCTTTGAACTCACAAAGATCTGCCTGCTTCTGCCTCCACAGTACTGGGGTTAAATGTGTGTGTCAGCGCTTGGATACATAGGGATGAGAGGAGGGGATGGTGTGTTTTCCTGTAATTTATAACTCCAGCATTTGTGACTTGACAGGAACATCTTAGTGAGTTAAAGCCAGCTTGGACTAATGAGATTCTGTCTCCAACAGATGACACTGGTGACCAAAACCAGTACAACAAACAGGAGCAAGGTACAATGACAAACAACTATGAAAATGTCCAAATGGGGGATGGAGAGACAGCTCAGTGGTGAAGACCTCTTGTTCTTGCTGCTCCAGGCTCAGTTCCCAGCATCTACATGGTGGCTCACAACATCTATAACTCCAATTTCAGGAAATCTGATGCCCTCTTCTGGTCCACAGACTTCAGGCATGCACATAGTACATATGCATACATGCAGGCAAATCACCCATACACATAAAATGAAGCTTTAAAAAGGTCACAATAAAACCCATTATTTTAGGCCGGGCAGTGGTGGTGGTGGTGCATGCCTTAATCCCAGCACTCGGGAGGCAGAAGGAGGAGGATCTCTGTGATTTGAGGCCAGCCTGGTCTATAGAGTGAGTTCCAGGACAGGTTCCAAAGCTACACCGAGAAACCCTGTCTGAAAAACCAAAAAGAAAAACAACAACTATAACATTATTTTGCATGGTAACTTTAAAAAACTAATTAAAAAAAAAAAAAAAAAACAGTAGAGAAGGGCCAGCAAGATGGCGGAGTGAGTAAGCAGCTGCTGACAGACACGTAGACCAGAGTTTGATCCCTAGGACCCACAGAGTCAAAGGAGAGAACTAACCTCACAGGTTGTACTCTGATCTCCATAGGCACAACATGGCACACAGAAGCCCTACCCCAACACACCAGACGGATGGAATGCTATCTGTAATCTGATTCACCACTAGAAATACAAAGGCCAGGCTGGAGCTGGAGCTCAGTAGAGTGCTTGCCTCGATTACATGGTTCGATCCTGACAGCATATACACCAGGCATGGGATAGCACTTGGGAGGGAGACAGGAGACCCAAAGTTCAAGGCCATCCCCACTTACATATCAAGTTCAAGGCCAGCTTGTGATACCAGGTAAAACCATGCTGGACTCTGGTTTTTGTTGTTTGTTTTGTTTCAAGACAGGGTCTTACTATGTAGCTGGCCTGGAATTTTCTATGTAGCCCAGGCTGGCCTGCAACCCACAGAGATCAGCCTGCTTTGCCTTTGATTAAAGGAGTGCAGGACCACACCTGGCTTGACTATGTTTTGTATATTAAATGTTTCAAAACAGTTCGGCTCCACACATTTCCATCCTAAAAACAGCCTATTGGACAATAACGTATCTCTTACCCCAGTCCCTAATACAAAGCAATTATGTGAACGAAACCTTTTAATTCATATAGTTTTTTAAAAGTCTACAATTGCTTGCTCTGGACAAAAAAGTGACACCCAATCGAAAGAAGGTTAAAATCACAAGAAATATGGCTTTAAGAGTGAAAAAAAGAGAGGTGGGAAAACCCTCTGTCAAAAGGCTAATAGAAAAAGGAAAGAAGGGAGCGGGAGGGGAGAGAGAGGAAAGAGAACCTTGGGAGGCTGATGGGGAGGCTCTGGAAGAGGCCAGCCTGTGAGACACCAAAAAGAGTGTTGTGAAACTGAGGACTGAACTTGGACTAGCCACGGTGGACTAAGAAAATTCAAACTGGTCTATGTGATAACAAACTGCATCCTCAAAACACCAACAGAGGGCTGGCAAGGTGGCCAGGAGGTAAAGGAGCTTGTCACCAAGCCTGAGGACCTGAGTCTGACTTCAGAACCCACATGGCGGAAGGCAAGAGCCAGCTCCCACAAACTGGCCTCTGACCTCTACCCATAATTCCTGGTGTGACCTTTAACACAGACACATTCATAATAATAATTATATATAATAACATATTTTAAAACAATAATCAAAGCTGCTCTAAAAACTACATAACAATGGAGAAACTTTCTGACACTGATTTAACTATTATTTCCTTCATCATATTTTGCAAAAAAGTAATTTAAATGAGTTTCGGCCAACTGTGTACTTAAGAGAGGGGAGTGGAGACGTGGTGAATCACTGCTGTAGCACTCGAGTTAGTAAGCTTCGAATGAGGTGGCAGTGATTTCCATTTCTGATCGACTACTCCTGCGTGTCAAGTCATGCTTGCATTTCTACTCGAGCACAACAGTCCAAGGCAAGGAAGGTCAAAACACTTCATTTTAAACTGCAAATTTTCAAAATCACAATACTTTCCTAGCATTTTGACAGTGAGGCCACTTTCCTTTTTCTATAAACGCACAAATGCCCAGGGAGCATCTTAACATTTGGGGAAACAACTTTGACTTCTTGAGATAGGCTCTTAGGTATGGTGGCCAGGCAGTCTTGGCTCAAATGATGCGCCTGCCCTCTTGAGTAGGTGGAATTACAGGGTCAGGGTGGCCTGCCTACGTTCATAAAAATCTTAAAGGTCAACATATTCTGGCCACAAACACAAATCTACTGAAAGGTGCAGTGGTAGCCACACGTTTCTCTGCTTTACTGAAAGAACTCAAGACGGGCAAATTGCAGTGCCTCCCTTATTGGCCATCTGTAAAACAACCGAGGGAGCTGTCTTCCTTAGACTACAGGGTTACACGGGGGGTACCTTCCTCTCTCATTTCAGTGCAACCACTTTGACCAACATTTTAACAAGAGACACAGACCTTCAAGGTATGAATGATACCCACTCATGTATGTCCAAGTTCACGACAGTAGGTTCGATTTTCTTCACCCCAACACCTTAAACTCCTGACGACTTTAGTTCCTTCAGCTAACAAAGCCAGACTAGGATGTTTCAAAAACCAATTTTTATCTTGTCGGGACATCGTGATTCCCACCCCCCCCATTAGTATCTTTTCCCTCCACTCAACTAGGCTTGAACTGTGGCAAAACGAGAACTACTAAAAGTGAGGAGGCTCCGTTGGTCCCCACACTAATTGGGACAACACAGAGCGTCCCCAGCCTCTCCTGCTGTCAATGACCTCTGCTTCCTGCTTCGCCTTACCCAGTGGGGAAACTGAGGTCCAGGGGAAGGAAAGAGGCTCGCGCGCCGTCCTGCCACTCTTTCCTGAAATAACTGCGTGTGACAACCACTGTCCTACCCCGAGGGCCACCAGAGCGGTGCCCGCGGGCACGGACCGGACTTGTAGTCGATCGCACCGCAGTGGAGGAAAAACAACAACAAAAAACCCAGGCTCCCCATTCGCGAAGGGCCAGGGATCAGAGCTCTGGGCGCGTGGACAGCCTAAGCAATGCGCCTTCCGGAGGGCCACAGCTGCCGCCCCAACTCCTCCCCGACGAGGGCACTGCCACTCACCTGCCGCTCCAGAGAACGCGACTCCCCGCTCCGCGTCCGCACTGCACGCTCCGAGCCGGCTCTGCAAAGCGGTATGGCTGCCGCGGCCCCAGCTCTCCGCAGCTCCTTCCGGGTCGGCGGGCGCCTTGGCAGTGACAGTCCGCGGGACTCCAGCGCCGCTCGCCCTCAGTTCCGCCTCCTGGCGGTCCCGCCACCAATCCCTGTGGGCCAGCTCCGGGCCACTGCACACCCCCACCCCAAGAGGCATGTGAGAAAATCGTCTTTGGCATTCGTTTTTTTTTTTTTCTCCTTTTCCCTCTTGGTACTAGGGGCTGCAGTCGACCACCAAGCAGCATCCGCCACTCTTTTATTTATTTTTATTTTCAGACAGGATCTCACAAAAGTTGCTCAGGCAGGCTGTGAATTTATCATCCTCTTGCCCTTGCTTCTTGAGAAAGTGGGATTATAACCCTGCAGCACCAGGTCCAATCTGGCATCTGTTACCTAGGAATACATCCTTTGAGTGACCCCTTGGGCTTACACTAGGGTATGTTTTACTTCCTGCAACTCTTTGGGAAGCTCTCACCCCTGCTCTTGGATGTGTCTTGCTTTTCCTCTGAGCACCCATCTTTCTCTTAACCCTCATGCTTAAACCTCTATTAAAATGTCTTTATTAACCTCCACCCAGATACATCTTTTAGGGGGCTGGCTAGAAATATGACTCAATGGTAGAGAGCCCAGCTGGCTTACAAAATGCCCTGAGTTCAGTCTCAAATATCGTACAAAAAAAAAAAAAAAAAAAATGAGGGTCCTATCTGTTTTGTTTGAGACTGGTCTCTCTACATAGCCTTGGCTATCTTGGAACTCACTATGTAGCCCAAGCTGGCCTCAAATTTACAGAGAACCGCCTGCTTCTACCTCCTGAGTGCTGGGATTAAAGGCGTGCCCACCATTCTTGTGTCCTGTCTTTATATGTGTCAGGCTGCTGCACGCATGTGCAGGCTCCAAGTCAACTGTCAGAAACTGTCCTGGGTTGCTCTTCTACTCTATTCTTTGAAGCAGAGTCTCTCAACCTGGAGCTTGCTGATATAACTAGTTTCCCTGGGGATCCTGTCTCTAATTTCTGAGACTCCACGCCCACACAACATTTATATTCTTTCTAGTGATCCAAATTCAGATATTCTCCCCCCCCCCTCGGTTTTTCAAGACAGGGTTTCCCTGTGTAGCACTGGCTGTCCTGGAACTCACTATGTAGACCAGGCTGGCCTTGAACTCAGAGATCTGCCTATGAGGTTCCCTTGTCTAAAAGACCTCTAGCTTGTGTCAGTTTGACATAAAACTAGCCAGCACAGTCACCGACCCTGAGTTCATGGATTAACTAGACTCTTTGGCTGACCAGTTCCAGGGATCCTGCTGTGTCCTTTTCTCCAGCCAGCAATGAAATTACAGGCATGGACTGCTGTGCTGCGATTATTTTTACATGGGTTTGGGGGATCAGGTCCTCATCTTTCAGAGCAAGCACTTTACTGACTGAACCATATCCCCAACCCCAAATCCCCCAATCCTTTCCATGCTAAAGTTTGGAAGAGGGTCAATGAAATGGCTCAGCAGGTAAAGGCATCTGCCGTCAAGGCTGGACTACTCTAGTTTAATCCCCGGAACCCCAAGATTGAATAAGGAAATTTGTCATCTCCACAAGTGCACCATGGCTGGCTTGCCCTTCTTCCACACAGAAAGAAGGGAGGCATTGTTATTATTTAAAGTTTGGAAGATCAGAAAAATAGAAATAAAGATCATTTTCAAACCTCTACGTTACCAATTTGTACATCGTTGGTAGTTGTAAAACACAAGGCTTGGTCTGTCCACACATGAGTTCCAAGGTTACTAGTCACTTTGGCTTTCAGTTCCTGCTTCTGTAAAGTTGGGACTAAGATCCAGAAATGAACAGTATTATGAAGAAACAATAACAATCGCCAAGCATGCTGGTGCACCAGCTGGAAGATGGAGACAGGAGGGTCAGGAGTTCAAAGATGGCCTCACTTGAATACATAGCAAGTCTGAGGCCAGCCAGGACCATAGGAGACCCTGTCTAAAACCAGACAGAAAAATATACAGAAAGGAGTGAATATGGGAACAGCATTAGGAAGCATTACTGTTTAACTAGGTAAAACTAGCCTGAGGCATAGAGAACCTTAACTCTCAAACTCTTACAGGTTTTAGCCAGGCATTGTGGCACATGCCTTTAGAGTCCCAGCACTTGGGAGTCAGAGGCAGGTGTATTTCTGTGAGTTGGAGGCCAGCCTGGTCTACATAGCAAGTTCCAAAACCAGCCAGGACTATATAGAGAGACCCTGTCTCAAAAATCCAAAAACCTCAGAGAGGTTTTGACCCAAACAGGAAAAGCATAGTTGGAAACTGTGTGGGGGAGGTTTTTGTGGTAACAGTACACAGGTTATATTGAACAAGTCAAAACTGAAAGCTGAGATCATTTTGGCAACGAGGCAGCTGCAGTCAGGCAGGTGAGAGGTAACCAGAGCCTGGGCTGAGTCAATAGGGAGAGAGAAACAGGGAGTCATGTATGAGAAAAAAAGATATATGTTGTAAGGCTTCATGTGGTTAGCAGGGATAAAGAGATAGCAAAGTCCAAAGTTTTAATGGGGATTAACAAATTCATGTCCATTTCTGTTCCACACAATGGGCTGTAGGCCACTGTCCTCAGTGGCCCCCAGTTAAAACAGCTCTAGTCTTTCCCTTCCCATCAATTATTCTCACAGCAGCTGGATTTTTTTAAAAATGATTCATCTTAGTTAAGTGGTTCTCAACACCTTTTCACAGGGGTCACCTAAGACCATCAGAAAACACAGGTATTTACAGAAGCAAAATTACAGTTATGAAGTAGCAGTGAAAATAATTTTGTGGTTGGGGTCACCACAACCTGAGGAACTGTGTTAGAGGGTCGTGGGGGTTAGGAAGGTTGAAAACCACTGTTTTAGCTGGATGTGAGGGCACAGAGGTAGCAAAGATGGGTCATGAGGGGCTTGAAAGGCTGTGGGTAGGACTTCTGGTTTTATTCAGCAGGAGATAAGACAAACCTTTGAGAGGATTTTTAAGTTGACTGAGCAAGCCGGAGTGCCCAAAGGTAAAGCAGCATCTATAACTGGAGCTTGTAGTATGGACCAGGGAGAAAGAATCCAGAAGAAACATTCTGGTAGTTTAAGCCCAGGGTACTGTAGACTCAACATGGTGGGTAATGAGAATGCTGTGTCATAAGGGAGCCTTCCAAGAGCTAGGAAGCTCCTTGGCTTGCTGTGAGATGACTGTACTTGGGATGTGCTTCACAGCAGTGGATGTCACATACAAGCAGGTGTCCTGGTACAGGCAAATGAGGGCAAAGGAACTGTCCCTAAAATGGAGCGGCAAGCGAGTTTCAGAGAATGAAACTGTCGTTCATACAAACATCTATAACTGAGATTGTTCTGTCTGAAGCAAAAACAGAATGACTTTTTTCTTCTTCTTGAGACAAGGTCTCTCTACATAACTCTGGCTGTCCTGGAACTAACTATGTAGATCAGGCTGGCCTCAAATTCAGAGCTCCACCTCTGCCTGCTGAGTCCTGGGATTAAAGGTCAACATGTCTGGTAATTAGCCCTTTTAAAAAATATACCACCCCCTCCACATCTGAGGCAGTTGGGACAACTGGCCCTGAGGTCATAAGACCAGGATGCCCCTGTCCCCCATCAACTGCAACACCTGAGGCAGGTGGGAGAGCAGGCCCTGCACCTTGCCAGGTGGCAAAATAGAGCCAATTCTGTTGGTGGAGGTGTGGGTGAGTCAGCCCTGAAGTTGTGAGCATGGGAGAGCTGTCCCCATTACTCATCTGTCATGTGGTGGCATGGGCAGAGAGAAATCCCACCCACCATCAACGTCCTGGGCAGGTGTGAGAGCTGGCCCTGAGGTCATAAGAATGGGAGAGCTGGCCCAGCCCCTCATCAACTGCAGCCCTCACTCGGGAGAGTGGGCCCTACACCACACCTGGGTAACACAGAAGAGCTGGCCCTGAAGGTGTAGGTGTGGGAGAACCAAGCCTGAGGACATGGAAGCAGGAGAACTCGCCCCACCCCTTGCTCATCCCTAGCCAGGGCAATTCAGGAGAGCTCACCCTGGCGGGCTGACCAACCCTGCAACTACCCAGGCCCAGAGTCAGGGTTATGAGTTGGCCCACCCCAACATCCACCCCATCTGTGATCTGCTGGAGCACGTGAAGGGACCGGTTCTGCAGACCCAAAGCTGCAGGATCTCCACGACACAGGGCAACAACAGGATATCCAAGAGGAGTCCCAGTGAGGGCCCAGCATGGATAGTGTAGCAGAAGCCAGAGACCTCAAACCAGACCAATGACTCTGCAGTGAATACTTGCAGGTAAAGCTATGTGGATAAAGGGGTTTACTGTGCGACTCACTGTGTCACACTACAGCTTCCACGACAAGACTGATTTTTCTTTTTTTCTTTCTCTTAAATTTTATTTTATTTTATTTTGTGGGGAGGTTGTAAGGGCAGAGTGTGGATACAAAGAGACGGGGTAATTAATGGGATGGAGATGCATGATGTGAAAGACACAAAGAACAAATTAAAAAGAACATTAAAAATATTTTTTTCGTGTGTGTGTGTGTGTGTGTGTGTGTGTGTGTGTGTGTGTGCACATGCATGTGTGCCTGTGGGTTCTTGGAGGTCAGAGGACAACTCGTAGGGAGTTATTTCTTTTTACCATGAGAGTTCCTGGGACCGAACTTCCGTCATGAGGCTTGGCAGTAAGCACCTTTTCCTCCAAAGCCGTCTCTCCACTCTCCCCCTTCCTGAAAGTATTGATTTTATCAGCTGATAATCTAACAGTCCTGAGTACATGGGCAAAGGAGTGTATTGTGAGCTTCAGTCTACTTATGAGTATCAGCAAGTTTCTTTCTTTTGTTTTTTCAAGACAGGGTTTCTTTGTGTGGCCCTGGCTATCCTAGAACTCACAGAGATCCACCTGCCTCTACCTCCTGAGTGCTGGGATTATAGGCGTATGCCCCCATGCCTGGCCTCTCCTCAGTATCTTTTTTGTTTGTTTTTTGTTTTTCCAGGCAGGGTTTCTCCGTGTAGCCCTGGCTGTCCTAGAACTAGCTCTATAGACCAGCCTGGCCTGGAACTCACAGAGATCCACCTGCCTCTGTGTAGTGGGTAGCCATTCCCTCTGCCTCCCAAGTGCTGGGATTAAAGGTATGTGCCACCACTGCCTGGTTCCTGGCTTCTCCTCAGTATCTTAAAGTTGGTTAGTTGAAAACATTAAAAAAAAAAAATTCAGAGATTTAACCATAGTTTGGGGTAATAACAGCAACAGAGAAATTTAGGGGTGGAACAAAATTGTTTACTTATTAGCAAACTATTTATAGCTATTTAACTGACTTAACCAGTGAGGTTATGTACTTTTTAAGATTTGAACACATGGATATTGCTTAAACAGGACAAAGTTCAAAGAAAGATTGATTTAACCAAATCAAAGCACTATGCCAAAGTCAACAAATCAAGATTATTCCAAAGGAGTTGAATATAAAGGGAAGATTAAATCAACAGAAGTTAGAAACCATGTTATTTACCTCTTTGAAGAATGACCTTTTTTTTTTTTTTCTGACCTCAGGAAGCTTCAGTTTCTCCCTGAGTTCTTCTAGTTTCTCTTTAAAGCAAGACTCTGTTCTTGTTCTGTTTCTTGTTTGCTTTACTGTTCTTAGATATAGAACTTGGGATTTTGTCATAGCTGCTCTTAGGTGAAAGTTTGATTTAAAGTATCTTCATCCTAAAGAAGCCTACCTAGCTGAGCGGCGGTGGCACATGCCTTTAATCCCAGCACTTGGGAGGCAGAGCCAGGCAGATCTCTGTGAGTTCGAGGTCAGCCTGGTCTACAGAGTGAGATCCAGGACAGGATACAAAACTACACAAACCCTGTCTCAAAACAAACAAACAAACAAACAAACAAACAAACAAACAAACAAGAAGCCTACCTAGATCTTGTAGTAAAGGGGTGGGGGAGGGAGAGGGGGAGGGGACTCATCAGTAAAGAGCATTGGCTGTTCTTACACAGAGGACCCGGGTTCCTTTTCCATCACCCAGATCAGGGAGCTTGCAATTGCTTGTCAACTCCAGCAACAGAGGATGCAACGCCCTCTTCTGGCCTCTGTGGGCACTGCATCCACATGGTGTAAACTACTTCCTTGTGGGCACTTATACATACAGAAAATAAACTTTAAAACCATCTTTTAAAAAAGTAGTTGAATTCCATTCACAGGAAGAATATTTTAGAATGGTTCTGGGGCAAATGATAACAAAATCAAGGTGAGGATTTTTTTTTTAAGTTTTTGTTGATTTTGAGACAGGGTTTCTCTGTGCAGCCATGGCTGTCCTGGAACTCATTGTGTAAGCCAGGTTGGAGGATCTATTTATTTATTTATTTATTTATTTATTTATTTATTTATTTATTTATTTATTTATTTATTTATTTATTTATTTATTTATCTATCTATCTATCTATTTATTTATTATTTATTTATTTATTTATTTATCTATTTATTTATTTATTATTTATTTATTTATTTATATAATTATTATTAATTTTTTTTGTGAGGCAGGGTTTCTCTGTATAACAGCCCTGGCTACCCTGGAACTCCCTCTGTAGACAGGCTGTCCTCAGACTCATGGAGATCCGCCTGCCTCTATTTCCCAAGTGCTGGGATTAAAGGCATGTGCCACCACTGCCTGGCGAGGATAAATTTTTATGTGTAGTTACTGCCTGCTTCTTGGGTCTGACAGTAGCTTTATTTTTTAAAAAAATTTTTATTTATAAACAAAACCAACCTCCCCCCCCATTAACTCCCCGAACAAACAAAAAACCAGATTAAATAAAATGTACAGTGAATACACCCAGCAAACATCTGTATGTGCAACTGAATACCGTGTCTGTTACTGTGGCACAAACCTCAAACAAACAATATACAGTGTTCTGGGGAAGGAGGGGGGTCCCAAGTTTTTACTCTGTGGGGTTTGGGGAGACAAGATAGGGGAAGAGAGAGGGGGGGGAATCGATGTACTTTACTTTTCTTAATTCTGTCCATATACATATATTCGTGAAGACCAGAGAGGAAGGGAGACTTCGATGGTGAGGAAATGGGAGAAGAGGGGAGTGTGGGACCCTCTCGATCTTACTGACCAAAAAATATGAAAGAAATTAATTCCATGGTGGGAGAAGAGATTTAAAAAAAAAAAAAAGGTAGAAGAGGATGGGAAGGAGAGGAAGACAGAAGGGGACCAACAGGGAAAAGTGGGACCCCTGGCAGGGAGTCGACAGTAGCTTTAGCTCGTGCTCTTTTTCTATGTAATCCTCCACAGAGGGCATTAGATGTTTAGTGAACTAGGTAAGGTGTACTTTCCCCTGACATTGTGAAACTCCTGGCATGACATGACATTTTAATCAGCAGTCCTCATCTGTGAAGGACTTTGTCATCTGCATGGAGCAGGAAAAACCAAAGTAGAATGAAGGTAGCTAAGATCACTATTGATATCATTAATTACGTTGTGTAACCAACCAGTTTCTACTTCTCGTTGGCCTTAAAAGTCAAAAAGTCTATTTGGGGCTAAAAAAAATAAATAAAAAAATAAAAGAAGCCCACAGTCTACTTGCCCAGAAAGGAAGTTTGAATTATTCGCCTTAAATGTAAACACTCAGAAGAGGAATTAAAACTGCCTTTAAATTTTTGAACTCAGGTTTTTCTACGAGGTTAAGCAAACTCTTTACCAGTAACCTACATTCCTAACCCCTTTTTGAGAAACTGAGTCCTGCTAAATTGCCCAGGCTGGTCTTGGGTTCAAAATCTTCCTGTCTCATTTGCCAGTATCCAGAACTACGGGAACACACCACCACCTCTGGTTTAAAATTACTATTTCAGTATGTTATTAGGCCCTGAGCCTCAGTATTAACACTTGCTGTTAGAAGCTGCGTAGCTCAGCGGTAAAATGAGTGCTACCCTAAGACCTTGGATTCCATTGTCAACATCGGGAGAGGAGGCGTGGGGAGTGCTAATTCATGTGTAGGGAACGTCCTTCGGAGTGACTAGGCTATGAAGAAGCTAACTTCACACATTTTCACCGTGACCTAGGTAGGGTCTTTACTCCAGCCCTGGCAGATCTGGTCGGCCGCTTTCAAACTTAGAGCAATACTCCTGCCTCGGCCTCTCAGTCGCTACCACGTTCGGCCCATGACACTTTGACATACACGCGTATTTTAGCATCTCTTTTGAAAATTCTCTTGCACTCTCCACCCGGCGGCACAGCACCGTCTGAGTCACCAGCGGTGGCTGGGTCTCGACAGCAGACGTTGACGTCTGTCTCAGGTAGTCCTCAGAGAATACGGGAAGAGGAGCCCGGGTCTGTCCTACCCCCCCACCGGAGCGACTCTAAAAGTCCGCACCGCCCTCAGATCCCCGATCTGTCAGGGAGGTGACGTTCTCCACGCCGGGGATTTTCGTAGTGGCGACACATGCCACTTCCGGTGGGCGGCGGGAGTCAGTGACGTGGCAGGCGAGTCCGTGCACGGTCCTCCGGGCCGGCCGAGACTCGGGACTGTCAGGTGGCCTGGGGCAGCTCCGCCGGGATTGAGAGCCGCCGGCCGGAACCGGAAGTGCCACGTGTCCCCACTGTGCCTGCGCGGCCGGCAGCTCCGCCCAGGACCGCCCTCCTCTCCGGGTTCGGCTGGCGCCTCCGAGCCCGGCGTTCGCGGCCCCGCCGGCCTGACTCCCCGAGCCTCTCCGCGCCCAAGCCGGATCGTGGCCGCCGGCGGGCTGGGCACACCGAGACGCCATGCCTCGGCTTTGACGTGCCGCCTTCGCGTGTTCCGCTTCTCCGGCTTCCCGCTCCCTTCCCGCGGCTTTCCTCTTGGAGCTCTTGGCTCGGCGCTGCGGTCGACCCCGACGACTCCGTCCTACCCTGAGAACCCCCGGGCGCCATGGCCCAGCCCGGGATCCCGGCCGCCCGCGGCGCCGCAGCCGGCCTCCAGGCCCAGAACGGGGCCGCCTCGGCCGCGGGGTCCCCCTACACCAACGGTGAGTGCCGCTTGGGGGCGGGGAGGACGGCCCGGCCAGGGCCCCGGAGACCTCCGGGCCGGGTGTGCCTGGAGGAGTGGCAGATCGTGACCAGGGGCCGTGCACCTGCACACCCGCGCTGGTGAGGCAGTTTCACATGTATTTATACATCCAGCCAGCAAACAGTAAGCACCTGCGGTATGCAGCGTCTGAGAGAAACAAGAGGTGAAAAAGGATCGCAGAGGAAATCAGTTCCTCAGAACTGCCTTACGGAGGTCATAGTGTCTGGGTGGCATCACCCTCCGCGCCACCTTAGTCCGGTGTCCTGGAGGGCAGGGTTCATCTCGGGTCTGTGAGCTCGAAGCGCGGTGGGGTGCGGGTCGTGTTTATTAGTCCGAGTTTGCGGAGATGAATGAATGACTCCGCCTTTGGCAGACCCCTTTAGGACTTACCCATCCCTCCAGGTATCTTTCTCCAAGGATCTCCCCACAGCTGTCCCTGGGCCGCCTGGGCAGTTTTTCGGTTGTGGAAGAACCAAATAGATGGAAGGCTAGGGTTCGTTTCTAGAGGCCTGTTCCTCACTTGGAACGTAGTTAGACCCAACTCTCTGAACCCGAGGAGAGTGTACATCTGGCACTATAATTTATCATTTGGCATGAGAAAATCTTATAATTTGATACCTCTTCTAGGATTCCTGAAGTTTTCCTACAGCGTGAATTGCTAAGCGTATTTTAATTGATATGATAAAGACACATTTTCTGCCTACTTGCAAATTAGCCTACAAATCTTTGCTTTGTGGGAAGAAGACAGGGAGAATAATTCTGAAGTACTTAGTGTGCCCATTGAAGTTGGAGAAAATAGCCAGTGACTAAAATTGCTGGTTACAATGCATTTAAAGAAGACTACTGTTTTCTTTACAAAGAGGACTCTTCATAAGACTTAAAAATGTCAGTGGGTAGGCAGCTATGTGGGCAGGGCAAGAGAAGCAGAAGCATTGACAAGTTAACTTGAACTGGTTCTTAAGTTTATAGTAACAGATTATGTAAACTACATTTTCTTCTGTGACGGTAACACTTGCACAGGAGATTGCAGTCATTCCCTTTAAGGTGAAAACAATTAAGCAAGATGTCTCTGGTCTGGGTTTTTCTTATAACTTGCACTTAAGTGGCAAATTCTGCACATGCCCCCATGAGGTACTTGCAAGTGTAATTCTCAGGGTTTTGCAATGTTGCAGGAATTTAATCAGTGCTGGAGAGATTTCATTGAATTTAGTTAGTTTTTTGAGACAGTGTCTCACTCTGTATCTCCAGTTGGCCTGAAACTTGTGGCAATCCTCCTGTTTCAGCTGCTCCAGTGCCCTGATTACAGAGCTGGAATTTCCCGTTCCTTTGGTCAAAGCTAAACATACACTTGTTGCACGTCCATATTCTGACCTTGGGTGTAAGAGAGAATAAGAGAGCTCTCTCGTGTGGGTTGTTTAGAGCTGGTAAGTAGTAGAAACCCAGGCGGTGGCGCACACCTTTAACCCTGGCACTTGGGAAGTAGAGGCAGGCAGATCTCTGTGAGTTCTAGGCCAGCCTGGTCTACAGAACGAGATCCATAACAGGCTCCAAAGCTACACAAATATACTCTTAGGGGAAAAAAAAAAGTAAGTAGTAGACCCATGCCTGCAAATATAAAACTCATGAGGTATCACTTCAGTCTTTTTTTCCCCCCCTTGGTTGTAGGGGTGGTTTTTTGTTGATTTTTTTTGTTTTTTTGAGATTGTTGTATAATTACATCATTTCTCCCTCTCTTTTCCTCCTCAGTCTTTTATAATCTTTTGTTGTTGGTGGTGGGATTTGTTTGTTTGTTGTTTCTTTGAGACAGGGTTTCTCTGTGTAGCCCTGGCTGGCCTGGAATTCACTATGTAGACCAGGCTGGCCTCAAACTCACAGAGGTCCACCTGCCTCTGTCTACCGAGTGCTGGGATTAAAGGTGGAATTTCTTAAGGTGTTTGTTTAATGTGCTTGTGTAAGTTAACGTGTTACAGTACAGTTAGATCTTAGGATATCATTTAGCTTGAACCAAGACGTAGCAAGAGTGGCTGTTTTCGTTTTCTGTAAATTGTTTTCTTGCTGTATTCCTTACACCAAACCTTTTTGCTCTGTGATATGTTGTTATGTTGCATTACAACCTAAAGATCATCTAGGAAGGTTTCCCTCAGGTTGTTAATACTGACTTGTGTACATATTTCCATTGCAAAACACTGATAGTGAGGCTGCAGGACAACTGAGCCTGGCATCTCCTCCTGATTGTCACCTTCCCTTTGGTAAGGCTAAAGGGAAGGACGCGCTCCTGTCGTTCTGTGCCTCCTTTGCTGGCTCTTTGAACCGACTTGCCAAGGCAGTTAGGAGACTGCAGTTTTGTTAACTTCATTTCCACGGGCTGTTTACCTAATAGTTCCCTTTACAGATAGAACGGAAGCTGAGAGGGACAGTCTCCTTTCTCCTTGCCCTGGTAGGCTGTACTTTTCTAAAAGAATATCTAACTTCCCTCAACCTGTAAGCCTTGTGACTTCAGAGCCCACATAGTGTCTAGCACATTTAAGAATTACTAGTTGGGGAGGCTGAAGAGCGGGCTCAAGTGGTCAAGAGCAACTACTGCTCTTGCAGAGGACCAGGGTTCAAGCCCCAGCACCTATGAAGTCCCTCACTTGTAACTTCAGTTCCAGAATAGGTATCCGTTGCCCTCTTCTGGCCTCTCTGGACACCAGGCAGGCATGTGGTGCAGAGATAAACAAAAAATACCTATACATGTTTTAAAATAAGTTCTGCCAGGTGATGGCGCATGCCTTTATTCTCAGGAGGCAGAGGCAAGCAGATCTCTGAGTTCAAGGCCAGCCTGGTCTACAGACCATGTTCCGGAAACCCTGTCTCGAAAAACCAAAAAAAGAGTTCCCAATTTTGTTTTGGTCTTTTGAGACAGGGTATCTCTGTGTAGCAGCTCTGGCTGTCCTGGAACCAGGCTGGCCTTGAACTCACAGAGATCTGCCTGCCTCTGCCTCCCGAGTGATGGGTGCCCAGCTTTTATTTATTTTAATTGTCTGTGTGCGCGCGCCATTAGAGGCCAGAAGAGGGTGTCTAATCCCCTGGAGCTGGAGTTACATGGAGTTGGGAGCCACATGGTGTGGTGCTGGGAACTGACCTCCAGTCATCTAAAAAGAGCGGTCAATGCCTTCAGCCCCATTTATTTTTATTTATTTATTTTTTGGGTTTTTCTGAGACAGGGTTTCTCTCTGTAGCTTTGCTTCTTTCCTGGAACTCACTCTGTAGCCCAGGCTGGCCTTGAACTCACAGAGATCTGCCTGCCTGCCTCCCAAGTGCTGGGATTAAAGGCGTGCCGCCACCACCGCCCAGCTTTATTTGTGTTTTTTTTAAAAAAGATTTATTTATTTATTATGTATATAGAAGAGGGTGTCAGATCTCATTACAGATGGTTTTGAGCCACCATGTGGGTGCTGGGAATTGAACTCAGGACCTCTTGAAAAGCAGTCGGTGCTCTTAACCTCTGAGCCATCTCTCCAGCCCTTATTTATGTTTTTGAGACTGGGTCTCATGTAGCCCAGACTCACCTCAGGCTAAATGTGTAACAAAGATTTCCTTAAGTTTCTGATCCTCAGGTCTCCACCTCACAAATGCTGTGGTTATAGGTAAATGCCACCACAACTGGCTTTTCTTTCCTTTTTATTGACAAATTCTTCAGATGAAGAATATATTTTGATTAATGACATGAGACGAGATACTAAGTTAGATCCCCTGGGTTCTCAAATTCCCTGGGAGTGGATTTACAGGTTTGAATTACCATGTGATGCTGGAATTGAACTCAAATCCTCTGTAAGAATAGCCAGTGCTTTTAACCATGGAGCCAGCTCTCCAGCCCTCTGAGTTAATTTTAAATTAGTCATTCTTTTAGGTTCATGTGTAATAGTTGGCAAATATAAACTGCCAGCTAAATAGTGGTTCAGTGTAAAATGTACTAGTGAGTGAGTGGCTGAAGAATAAAAACGTCCTCAGTCTTTATCCTACTTAGAATTTTAAGGAGAACCATTAGGGACATATCTGTTTCCTTTACATTTTGTTTGTTTATTTATTATATGATACTGAGGATTAAACCTGGGGCTTCATGTGTACTTAGTGAGCAGTGTCCCTACCCCTTTTTGTATTTTTAAATTTTTGAGACAGTCTCAGTGAGTTGCTCAGGTTGGCCTGAAGCTTGGGTAGGCTTTAAACATGTGATCCTCCCTACCTCAACCTCCCAAGTTATCGGCCTCAACTGCCAGGACTAGCCTTTTCTTCTACATGAAAGAGGTAGTTAATTCAATGTGTTCATAACTGCTTAGCAGGCTTACTGAGGAAACATATGTGTGTGTGTGTGTGTGTGTGTGTGTGTGTGTGTGTGTGTGTGTGTGTGTGTTTGAGACAGGGTTTCTCTGTGTAGCTGTGGAACCTGTCCTGGAACTCACTCTGTAGACCAGGCTGGCCTTGAATTCATAGAGATCCATCTGCCTCTATTTCCCGAGTGCTGAGATTAAAGGTGTGTGCCACTACCACCTGGCTATAAATCATAATTTTTGTATTAATTGGTGTGATACTGTCAGAAAGATTCTTTTAATTTTGTTTGATTTATGAAGAATAATAAAGACATCAATTATTTTAAAAGTTATATCAGTGAGTTTTTTGTTTGTTTTGGGGTTTCTGGGGATTGAGCACATGGTCTCTCACATAGCTAACAAGCATGCTGTCATAGAACTAACATATCCAGGCATTCTTCCCCGCCCCTCCCGCTCCCCCTCCCCTATTTTGGCGGGGGCGTGTTCAAGACAAGGTTTCTCTGCATAGTTTTGGAGCCTGTCCTGGAACTCACTCTGTAGCCCAGGCTGGCCTCAAACTCACAGAGATCCGCCTGGCTCTGCCTCCCAAGTGCTGGGATTAAACGTGTGCGCCACCAGCACCTGGCTCCTTCCCCCTTTTTAAAACTTT